ACTGAACCTAAGACCGCTCAAGTACCACTCCAGTGCTCCACTTACTGAGGTATCCAGACTCATGTCGGTGTCTTCCTGGTAAATTATTGTTGCTTGAAATATTTAAAACTGAGGCCATTTGCCAAGTAGATATTGTCTTGCAGGCAATCATGTACGTATACAAGCAGCATGAAATACAGGATATACAGTACAGTGCATACATATTGAAGTTTTGCTTCTGCAAAATGGAGAAGGTTGAATAATTGTGGGTCGTTCAGATGCAGTTGAATAGATTTCCTCCAACGAAAAAGGAAAACACTCCAGAGACTTTTATGTAAGCCCTGGGAATGCCATATGCTGTGAAAAAAGCCCAGAATTTTGATTAAAATGAATTTCCGAATGGTGTACGCGGGACATCTGCTCTGGGGAATGAAATGAGCAATCTGGGGGAAGATCGATCATTTTTGTTCATCCGAACCGGAACCTTTCTCGATCTTTTGAAGTCAAGCGTCTTCTCACTCCTCCCATTAACGGCAAAATCAAAAAAAAAATAACTTGAACATTATACGCCATTTCTTCTCGGTCTTTTAACCCACATACTTTCCGCGCCAGGATTTACCGCCAATTTGCCGACGCGGCATGGAGTGCCCAATTACGCACTGGCTTTTCCGAAAATAAAAAGGAAAAAGATGTGCGAAGCCTGACTGCACTTTAGCCCGGCATTAATCACGTTCCCGCTGTCATCATAGGGACCCCCCCCCCTGGCTCTTATAAGCCGGTCGTGGATAAGCTGACAAGAAACCTGCATGTTATTACACACTGTATCTGCGATGGATTGCCTTCCCCGAGGACTGTCTTATGATCTGAAAGAAAAACAATGAGGATCACCTCTTGGCAGCCAGAGGCAAGGAAAACTGTCGAGACGGGAATGAATTGTATTTCCTGATTTCTCCACATCCGATTGGTTTACTACCTTCTGAGTTTTTGTTAAATTGCCTCAAAAATGCCCACACAAAAACCTGTTAAAGAGCATTGCATCTGTAGATATTCATTTGGGCTTGGAATAGACCTTATTCCCGAGGAAGCCATTTTTGATCTTGTTCCCTGAATGTTTTTTATAAATTGTAAACTGTTGAATGGGATGGTGCCAGACTATTTATGCATTCCATTAGCCTCACTTTCAATTGTATTTTTTAAATGTGGCTTAAAGCATTAGGTTATGTCTAATCACAATTTTCAAATTATTCATCAGGGAAGATGGTATTAATTTGTGATTGACTTTATTTCATTGCTTTCATTTCTATTGGCAAATTCCAAAAAATGAAATTTTACCTCGCTTTCAATTTAATATGACCGACGCGTGAATAAACAAGCTAGAAATCTGCGTTCTACCCATAAATCTCTGTTGTCACCCCCAGTCACTAAAACTAAGTCTTATGGTTCCCGCTCCTTCCAATCAGCTGCAGTTCAGCTATGAAACAACTTATCAGATATTGTCAAACAGGCCGAAACATCAGAACAATTCAAAACCCGGGTCAAAACATATCTGTTCAATTTGTATAATTGTTGATTTCATGAGAGCGCATAGGGACCTCACGGTGATATGCGCTATATAAGAATGGTTTTTATTATTTATTATTATTAATAAAGCCTTATTTTTCTTCTGCAGTCCCATTCTAGATATGTCTGCATGACAATATCTAATATTCCGATGCCTGTTACATATTAGCGTACGCTGCATGCAGTACACACCGTACACTGTATCTGAAAGCTGTGAAATGATCTCACACTGTCTGTCAAGTGAAATTATTACAGCCATCCATTACACATAAGTTGTTTTTTTAAGCCAACAACTGAAGCCTGATGAAAGCGGGGCGTATATCTAATACATGTCATCCCTCATTCATATAATAATAAATATAGTAAGCGCCTTTGCCACAGGATGAAAAGCGCTAATTATAACGCCTGTTCATCAGGCTATGAGACCATTTTTCTGCAGCAGCCCGAGCTCAGCGGAATTCTGGTCTCCACCCTCACAGGTACCCATTTATACCCCTGTTTGGAGAGGGGCGATTGTAGTAAAGTGTCTTTCCCAAGGACACAATCACCATGGATTAATGGAGTATTGAGGAAGGTAGAACTAAGACACTGTCACTTCCATAAATGCAGCTGACAAGTTTAGATACAAAGCATATGCTGTTGGCTTTCTGCACCGTGGAAGATTTTTACGAATTTAGGATGGCCTAGAGAGTTGGGGTTAAATAAAGTGCACAGCTCTTTTCATAGCTCTTATCAGGCACGATAAAGTTAAACCATTTGGATTGGGCCCATAGAGCTATATTTAATTACTAGAGTGTAACTCGATGTACAAAGTAATGCCTGATGGGCGCATCCATGTTTGTGCACAAACCTATGGAAAACTCGAAATTTTGTTTGGCTTTTGTACGGCTATTTGCATATCTGCGGTTGTATTCCATACTGGTGCATCATCGAAGCCGATACGCCCAAAACCGAAACGCACGATAAGCAAATGAGCGTTTCATTTTGCTCCACGCAAACAGCGCAACGCGTGCGTGTCCCTCCGCTGCAGATGCTTTTCACCGTGACGCTTTTTGAACCGTCATGACGTGCTTAAGTTGTTTGCATGTCTTCTACTTGCGCGTTGCATTTACAGTACACTTTTGAAATTCAATCCATCTATTTTGATTGTGTTCTACAAACACGCACATAAATTCAAAATGTCTGCGCCCAGAGCAGCTTCAAAGCGTCTCCACGCGCAAGAATGAGGAGTTAGCGCTCTAGTAATTTAATATAGCTCTATGATTGGGCCTCACTTTGTCTTTGTATTTTGTCTCCTCAGCACGTATGTTCATAGCCTGTTGCGGTTGTAGTCACTTGGGGGTTACTTGCTGCACATGCGCAGTGTGAGACATCCACTAGTCTTCGCATGTTGGCGACATTTTACCAACTTATTCTGGTGCTATGGTGACATAAAATTTCCAAAATTTCCATAATATGTGAGTTTTCCCAAAGTTATGCCCCGAAAAGATATGCTCAAAATAAGATTCCAATAAAGCTGCTCATATAATCAACTGGGCTACATTTTTTTTTAAAGGAATATTTGTCGCTTTCTTTTTGCCATGAAAATTGAACTTGAATCATACTAATAAAGAGCAAATCAATAATTGTGAATAAAAAAAAAATGTAGCTCCCTATTTATCACCTGGAAGGGAACATTGACATTGCTGGCTTCACTTCCATACCGGTAGGTCTCCCTTATTCCTAAAAACTCAGATTTTTAAGGAAAACAAAATAAACATCTTAATCAACGAAAATCACTGCTACATCAAGACTACTACATCATTTGAATATGGAGCATCAATAGACCTATTGAAACAAACATTAGAGTAAGAAAAGACTGGTTATGTCATGCCATATTGAAGCCTTATTAAGGGACAGAGGCTGATGGCGTCGAGTGGAATACCTGGGCACAATGAGACAAACTAAGTGGAAGGCACAAACATACGTGTCAGGTCAAACTCCAAAAGTACCATTTATTCCATCATCTGTCAAGATTGCCCTTTAAAATGGCCACCCTAATTGGATTAAATCTTACGTGGTGTTGTTCCGCGGCTCCCAATATGTGATTTTGTGTCCTTTTTTTTTTCTTTCTACAAATAATGTGGGAGTAATTTGTGTCCGAAGAAGTGCCAAGCCGACGTCCTTTCCCCAGGGATTGTGGTAATACATCCAGGTGTAAAAATACCGTGGGAGGGGAAAGTAGGAGACGGATATTTTGTAGCGGAGCCTCGGAGGATCCATCCTAACCGCCCGACGAAGTACAGTGCACTTGGTAATGGGAGAACGCAAGAGAATTACTAGTAGTTTCACCTTACAAATTTGAAATTTTGAAATCTCCCATGTCCTTCATTTGTAATTTGTAATTTTATTCACGCTCGTTGGGGAAAAAGTTGTTTACTCGAGAATTTTTGGGAAGGTATCTTCTTAATTGTTTATTTCTTTTTTGATCAAGTGATGTTGCCTAAGGATGTCCAATCTTCCTGGGTGATACTGGAAAGGCAGAACCATACCTATTTCGCAGGCCACCAATTTAAGAATTTCGGTATTTTTGTTGGCTTGACTCATGGGTAATTTCTTCATCCCTATTTTTGGCAGGGGCCTGGGAAAGTGTTTTGTCATAATAACTGAATAAATATGTGCTGTGCCAGTCTTAAACAAGTTTGTTTAAAACCGGCTAGCGGATAATTGCCTGAGCCGAATCCCATTCTTAAATACCTTTCAAAAAGTCTCAACAAGTCAAAACATTTACATTTCCAACAATTTTGTTTAACAATTTTGCTACACAATTTGTGAAACACCCCTCTAGCTATGTTTATGGTATGTGCCATTTGGGTCCCTAGATCCAAAAAATACAACCAATTATCGGTAAGTGAAAGGGTGTAAATTTTACTTGGGCCACTCTCACCTGAATCTGGGTTAAGCATTGAATAGGCATTGAATAGGCATTGAAGTTTGTGACATCACAGGTGATGAGAGTGGCCCAAGTAAAATTTACACCCTTTCACTTAATTGATTGCATTTCTGGATCTAGAGACCCAAATGGAATGGGGTAAAAAGGAGTGGATTGAGAAAAAGTCAGGCTTTAATGTATTCAATTCAATGAAGACAAAAACATTGAACAGTTTTAATTATTTCTCTTCTGAATGTTGCACTTTTTGGGCACACTCTGTATATTTTGTATTATATATTGATGCTACTACATGTATATATCACAAAGGACCCTTGTGACTTGCGCCAGTGTGAAACAGGTTTTCTTGTGGGACCCCAGTGGAAAAAAAAGCCTTCGCAAATTACTTTTTTGGACTATCCCAGGTGAAATCAACTGCACTTTGCTTCTTATCTTTGTATTGTTATGTGAACTGTATGTTGTTGTTGATTTTATCTGAATCAAATCAAATCAAATTCAAACTGTGTGTATTATTTTCCTCTCTGTTTCCTAGGAAGCTCCCCAGGGTTGGCACCGTGCCATCACACTCTTCGTCACCACCCTCGTCTTTGTCTGCCTGGCCGTCTGCTCCTACTCCGACACCATCTTCCACAGGTTTTCCCGCCTCATCTCGGTCCTCGTCTGGCTGAACCTACTCCTCTTCCTCTATCTCCTGGTCTCCTTCCACACCCTGTACCTCCCGGCTAACGAGGTCGGGCTGGTGATCCTGGTGGTGGTGGCCGTCTACACCACCCTGCCCTTGCCCCGGCTCTACGCGGTGACCGCCGGCGTGCTCACGTGTCTTCCACATGTCGTCGTCCTGGGGGTGCTCTCGCAAGCCAATTCCACAGACACTTTATTTCAGGTGAGTACCACTAGATGTCCTCCGTTGGAATTTTTGAAATCATGGCCCCATCCCCAGTTCAGTTTCAGGATGTTTTTGGCCCCAGATTTTTGGAACTCTGGCTCAATATTGGTCTGTTTTCTGCAAATAATAAAACAATAATGATTTACAAATTTATAATGCGCCTTTTGCACACTAATGATCAAATGCGCATTACAGAGTCTATGTTGAAAGAGACTACGTTAAAAGTAAAAAAACCAAAGAACCGAAAGATTAAAATAAAGTCACGTCACCACGCCAGTGCCCAAACCACAGTATGGGGATACGTCAGTCCCGCTAACAGGGAGATAATATTACTTAAGCCTAACCCTGCTGACATTGGTTATGTCTCAATCTGTTCCGGTGAGAAACGCCTCCATCCCTACCTACATAATTAATCATCTAAGTATCTGACACAGTGACAGTAGAAATAAGATCTAAGAAAGTATTAAAAAAAAACTTTAAAAAAAGGAACATCAAACCATTAATGAAAATATCATAGAGTATTTCACAAAATCACTCAGTTGGGACTCGAACCCATGACCTCCTGCTTACTAGTGCAGGGGCCGATTTCACGAAACTTGTCTTCTCTTACGACTCATCTTAGGACTTCAGACAAGTCCCTGCTCTAAGATCAATCTGAACTGAGACGTGTCATCAAACCGATTTTCACTAAACCCATCTTAAGCAAGACGCATCAAAACTACCAATTTGATGGCTGTTTATACCCTTCCTAAGAAACTGTTCATGAAATTGGCCCCAGACCTCTTACCACTCAGTGGTTGAGTGGTCGGTGGTCAAGTGGTAAGACGTCTGCATTAGTAAGCAGGAGGTCATGGGTCCCAGTCCCACTTGAGTAAGCTCAATATTGAATCGCCTGACACTTGCTCCTCACCTTCTTGAGACATGACACTGACACCATCTTCCATGTGTACGTGTTTTTTGCCTGTCAGTTATTCAGGTTGGAGAGGTATTATTAAACCCTTTTGACAGCTCTCTTTCCAAGGGGACATCTGTTTTGGTTTCTGGATGATAACATGTCTCCTGAGTGTTTTCATCAGACGTGGGTGACGGGTTGATGTTGGGTTTAAAATGCTGAACTTTGGTCCAGGAAAGAGTTGGGGTCAGCCATGTCAAATGTGTCAAGCATTTGAACAATTCGGTGTACCATATAGAATTAATTTCCAAACACACGGCATAAGTAAACTCTGTCACCAGCCAATGTGGCTCATCAGGCTGGCGTTTATCTCAAGTTTTAGTAGCATGAAACGACTGAGAATATTTCTACTCCCCCTGGACGGGATGCTAGTCCATCGCAGGTTACTCCCAGCTAATGCCGGTTCCCATTTATAATCCTTGGTGGAGAGAGGCAAGTGGGGATGAAGTGGCTTGCCCAAGGAAACAACATATGGCCAGCAGCTGGATTCGAATCCTGACGCTCCCATTTATACTCCTGGGCGGAGCGTGGCAAGTGGGGATGAAGTGGGGCTTGCCCAAGGACACAATATATGACCAGCAGCTGGATTCGAACCCCTGACCCTCTGATCATGAGTCACGAACCCTAACCACTAGGCCACACTCCCCACAAGCCCTAGTTCACTCTTTCAATTGCATTTTTCAGGTCAGAAGAGACTTCTGAAGTTAAAGCTTGAATACTTTTTCAAAATATGGCAATATCTCTGTGGCAGTCTTTAAAGAACCAAAGTGGCTTGCGTGCCGAGTTAAAACCGCTGTCTTATTGACTTGGACGATTCGCTCACTGCCTTTCCACAGACGCAATCATAGATTTTACCCACAAGTCTTGTTTTTAAAATTAGTTTAATATCCCCGTGCCAGTGAGAACGTATAGATATATAACGTGATTGCCGAGCCGAAGACCACAGGTCGTCAGGAAATAAGTCAACGCGGTTAGGCTGATATCGATTCCCGGGCATTTTTCTCTTCAAAATTTCGCTGCCAAACCTGCCGCCGGCTTGTTTGTATTATTCAGTCATTTTCCAACCTCCGTTGCATCTTTGTGTGTATTGCCTGCGTGCGTTTACTTTTCGTCTGAATGGGATTGTATTCAGGAGCATGCTTCTGTACCTTGGGCTCGGGAAGAAATAAGGTTCATCCTTCGATACCAGGAGATGTGGCTTTGGAGGTTGGACACTTGTACGGTAGATCAAACACGCTGATTTTTTTCCCCGCATGTGTTTTTTTAAAATTTATCTCATCTTTGGCACATAAATATAAAAAAAGGTCTGTAAATGACATCAGAGAAATGAAGGGTTATTGCCAAAATGCGATAAACACATTTGAAAAAAAAGTGAAAAGTTGCACGGCTTGATAATTATACAGGGTGGTACAAAAAGAAGGAAACCCACTTTTGACAGGGATTTTAACCTACTTACTTAACTTATTTGAACTGTTCTTTTATAATGTAGTGAAGTATAGCTCTTCAACCATATGTGGTGAAAAATCTTTAAAAAAATCGCAAGAATAGTGTTATTATGCTCATTTGAAAACAAGTCACCAAAATCACTGTTGTCCACGTATAAGTCTAGTGTAGTGTTTTTGTCTTCAAATCAAGCTCCGGAGCTCAGTCAAGTGGATGGAATAAAGCCGTCCGTGCAAAAACAGTTTTGGCACATGAAATTTGTAAACTACCATATCTCAAAGACAAAATATGTACATGTATTTGCAATCATTTTTTTGTCACTTATGTTTAAAGATCAGTATTTTTAATACCATTAAATTGAATTTTTGAAATGTGCTCAACAAGTAGGTGAAAATTGCTGTCAAAAGTGGGTTTCCTTCTTTTTTTGCACCACCCTGTAGAACATACACAGTACAGCTGTTTCAGAACTACATTTTTTGCTTTATTGTATCCTTAAATTGAGTTTAGCTGTACAACAGCCGTCGAAAGACTCGAAACTGACTTTGGACAACCAGGAGAGAGGCTGCAATTCTACAAGTTAACAATATGATATTTATCAGGTTCTGGAAACAAACTGTTTAGTTGAAGAACCTGTCATAAATCATGTATCCGTTAAAATCATAAGGGATTTGGGGGATTTGATCAACGTGTCTATCTTGTTCCAAGCAAGGTTACAGTGTGGCATTGTGGCATTCATCGAGTTCTGGAGACAAACTGTTTAGTTTAAGAACCTGTCATAAATGATGTATCTGTTAAAATCATAGAGGAATTGATCAATGTGTCTATCTCTTTGTGTTCCAAGCAAGGTAACAGTGTGGCGTTGTGGCATTCATCGAGTTCTGGAGACAAACTGTTGAGTTGGAGAACCTGTCAAAAATGATGTATCTGTTAAAATCATAGGGGAATTGATCAACGGGTCTATCTTGTTCCAAGCAAGGTAACAGTGTGGCGTTGTGGCATTCATCGAGTTCTGGAGACAAACTGTTGAGTCGGAGAACCTGTCATAAATGATGTATCTGTTAAAATCATAAGGGAATTGATCAACACGTCTATCTTGTTCCAAGCAAGGTAACAATGTGACGTTGTGACATTCAGCGCATTCTGAAGACAAATCACTGTTAAGTTGGAGAACCTGTCATAAATGATGTATCTGTTAAAATCATAAGGGAATTGATCAACGCGTCTATCTTGTTCCAAGCAATGTAACAATGTGGCATTGTGGCATTCATCGCGTTCTGTAAAGACAAACTGTTGAGTTGGAGAACCTCTCAAAAATGATGTATCTGTTAAAATCATAGGGGAATTGATCAACGCGTCTATCTTGTTCCAAGCAAGGTAACAATGTGGCGTTGTGGCATTCATCGAGTTCTGGAGACATACTGTTGAGTCGGAGAACATGTCAAAAATGATGTATCTGTTAACATCATAGGGGAATTGATCAAAGAGTCTATCTTGTTCCAAGCAAGGTAACAATGTGGCATTGTGGCATTCAGCGCATTCTGGAGACAAATGACTGTTGAGTTGGAGAACCTCTTACCTGTCATAAATGATGTATCTGTTAAAATCATAGGGGAATTGATCAATGATGTTGTTCCAAGCCACATTCTGCATGCTGAGCATTTGAAGTGGTCAAAAATAGATGGGTGGATAGTTTTGAAATGTAAAATAGAGTTCTCTTGAGGAAGGGAAGTAAAAAGAAAGGAAGTAGGAAAGGAAGAATTTAGAAGTTGAAGGGAGAAGATCTTAAGAGTACATGCAGCCATCAGAAATTTGTGACTATACACAAAAAAGAAGTTATTAATTTATTTATTGTTTTTTAAGTTTCAAAATTTAAACCTAAAATCAATCCAGGGTTCAACCTTATAATTCAGGTCTTCTTCTTTCGTGTCCGTCATCTATGTTTCAAGTGTTCGGCCAGGCTCTTGCAAAGTGAACAGCCTTTTCGTTTGCCACCACTAGATCTTCCAGATACTTCAGGTAATTCTTTGGAATCAGGGAAATTCAGTTTTTTTTCGCTGATGAATGAGGAGGAATAAACTGCCACTATTTTTCTTAATTTGGCACCACCTGCTGAGAATGATTTTTACAATTTTTTTTTATAAATTCTTAAAATTTGCGTCTGGAAATTCCACCCGCTTTTCAAATGATAATCTCGGTGAAAATTTGCAATGGAAGTCATACAAGTGTGTCAAGTACCTGTTTATACATGTATGTTGATGCATTCTATGCGGGGAGTGTGGCCAAGTGGTTTGGGCTCGTGACTCATGATCAGAGGGTCAGAGGTTCGAATCCAGTTGCTGGCCATATGTTGTGTTCTTGGGCAAGCCACTTCACCCCACTTGCCTCTCTCCACTTAGGAGTATAAATGGGTACCGGCATCAGCTGAGGAGTAACCTGCTATGGACTAGCATCCCATCCAGGGGGGGGGGGGGGGGGGGGGGGGGTGGGGATAGAAACATTCTCAGTCGTTTCATGCCACGGCAACCAGAGATAAACTCCAGCCTGTCAGAATGGCCATATTGGCTTGTGATAGACTTTACCTTCTTACTTACACTCCGCTTCC